ACTTCCAACTGACTGGTGCCTTTGCAAATGTAAACAAATAACCAGTAGTTGATCGACGCTTGTCCAAATCACCTACATAGTCTGAATCACAATACCCAACTATATACTGACCATCTTGTTTGTCCTGCTGAAAGACCAAACCAACATATACGGTGTTTAGAATATACCGCAGAATCCATTTCACAGCTTCCCAATGCTCATTTCCAGGATCATGCATATATCTGCTCACAACCCCAACTGCCTGTGAAATATCGGGTCTCGTACACACCATTGCATACATTAAGCTACCAACAACACTTGCATACGGAACCTTTGACATGTATTCCCATTCTGCATCATCCTTAGGTGGCATGGATGCACCGAGCTAGAAATGAGGAGCAAGAGGTGTACTAACTGGTTTTGACTTCTCATTCATGTCAAAACGTTTTAGTACATTCCTCAGATATTCTTTCTGAGACAAACAAAGCCTCCCCAATTTCTTATCCCTTGATATCTCCATGCCTAGAATCTTCTTTGCTTCACCAAGATCCTTCATCTCAAACTCCATGTTCAATTGAGTCTTTAGTTTCGCAATTTCTGTCTGACTCCTAGAAGCTATCAGCATATCATCAACATAAAGAAGAAGATATATATATGATTCGTCTTGTAGCTTGCGTAAATACACACAATGATCATATTTGCTTCTTGTGTACTTCTGCCCTATCATAAACTTGTCAAATCACTTGTACCACTGCCTTGGAGATTACTTCAATCCGTATAGCGATTTTTCTAATTTGCACACCATCTCTTCTTTTTCAGCAACTTTGAATCCATCTGGATGTGTCATGTAGATTTCCTCATCCAAGTCTCCATGTAAAAATGCAATTTTTACATCCATCTGAACTAGTTCCAAATCCAACTATGCTACCAAAGCCAACAAAATTCTGATGGAGGAATGTTTTACAACTGGAGAAAATACTTCATTATAATCAACTCCCTCCGTTTGAGCGTAGCCTTTAGCCACCAATCTTGCTTTGTAGTGGATGCTATTCTTGTCAGAAAATCCATCTTTCTTTGCATATACCCACTTGTACCCAATTGCCTTCTTTCCCTTCGGAAGACTAGCTAGTTTCCACGTCTGATTCTTTTGAAGGGATTGCATTTCTTCATTCATGGCGATCCTCCACTTTTTATGTTCTGAACTTTGGACTGCTTCATTAAAAGTGGCAGGAACGTCATCAATTGCAATTGGTGATGCAAAAGAGACCATATCAGCATAACGAGCATGTTCTCTAATAGTCCTCTTTCCCTTTCTGAGTGCAATTGATTCATGTTGCTATGGAGGTTCTTGGGTCTGAACCTCTTCTTCATCTGACTCTTCTTCTACCATAGGAGAGTCAACATCAGTTTCTTTACTGGTTGGGTCAATTCTGCTTCCTTCAAACTCTACCTGTTTGGGAGTTCCATCTGTCTGCTCCAATTTTTCTGAAGTGACCTTTCTCAACATGGTAGATTCATCAAAGGTAACATCCATGCTGAAGATTATTTTCTTTGTTTCTGGACACCAAAGACGATAGCCTTTCACACCAGAGGTGATCCCCATAAAGATCGCCTTCTTTGCTCTTGGATCCAGCTTTGACTCCTTAACATGGTAGTATGCAGTGGAACCAAACACATATAAGGAATCATAATCTGTAGCAGGTACTCCAAACCATTTCTCTAATGGTGTTTTACCACCAATAGCAGTCGATGGTAAACGGTTGACAATGTGACAAGCATAGACCAAAGCCTCAGCCCAAAATTCTTTGCCTAACCCAGCATTAGACAACATACACCGAACCTTCTCCACTAATGTTCGGTTCATACGCTCTGCCACCCCATTCTGTTGTGGTGTACTTCTGACAGTGAAATGCCTGACAATACCTTCTTCTTCACAGACTTTCAGAAATGAATCATTTTTGTACTCTCCACCATTGTTTGTATGGATACGTTTGATTTTTCTGTCTGTTTGAGTCTCCACCATCTTTTTCCATTTAAGGAAAAATCCTAGCACCTCATCCTTTGTCTTCATTGTATACACCCAAACTCTCCGGGAAAAATCATCAACAAAGGTGACATAATAATGTGTTCCTCCCAATGAAGTTGTCTTGGAAGGCCCCCATACATTTGAATGAACATAATCCAAAATACCTTTAGTATCATGGATTGCTGTTCCAAATTTCACCCTCGTCTTCTTCCCTTTGATGCAATGCTCACAAAAAGCTAATTTGCAAGCTCGAGCACCCTTTAATAATCCTTGATCTATCAGCAATTTCAAGGATTTTTCACCAACATGCCCCAAGCGCATATGCCATAACCTGGTTGCTTCTGACTCATGTTCATCAGTAGAAGTTGCCACTGCTGCTGTCCCAACAATTCTACTACCCAGCACATTGTTTCTTTTCCGGATTCCCTTCATTATCACCAGTACACCAGAGATAACCCTCATAATCCCATATTTTGCCCTCACTTCTAAACCTTTTGACTCTAAGGTTCCCACAGAGATGAGATTTCTCATTAAATCTGGTACATAATGGACACCTGTTAAGGTTCTGATTGATCCATCCTGATTCCTCAAGCGAATTGAACCAATCCCAAGTGTGTCAAGAGGGGAATTATTTGCTGTGTAGATAATTCCACCTTTTAGCTCTTTAAAATCAAAGAACCATTCTCTATTGGGGGTCATATGGTGGCTACAAGCTGAATCTAACAGCCATGAACTGGAACAGCTGGTTGATGGCGTAGCAGCGAATGCGAAATTTGAATCTACATCATCATACTCGACCACATTTGATTCTGAGACAGCCTTTCCCCTTTCAGGTTTGCCTTTGTTCTTTAGCCTGGGACATTCTTTCTTCCAGTGCCCTTTTTTCTCGACAAAAGACATATTCATCTTTGCTCAATCTGGACTTTGACTTCGATCTCCCTCTCCTTCCTTTATTCTGACTCTTTGAATGGCCTCTAACAACAAAAGCTTCTGCTTCGACACTTGTGTTTTCTTGTTTGTCTTTCTTTCTCAATTCATAACTATACAAGGCAACAGTTACTTCACTGAGAGACACATCAACTTTCCCATGAAGTAGAGTAGTTTCAAGATACTCAAACTCATTAGGAAGTGATCCCATCAACATCAGAGCCAGATCTTCGTCTTCAAAAGTCACGTCCATATTCATCAGATCAATCACCAGCTGATTAAAGCTAGTAATGTGATCATTCATAGTGGTACCTGGTACATAGTTGAAGCAGAACAATCTCTTTTTCATGTAGAGCTTGTTCTGACCGCTTTTCTTCAAAAATTTCTCCTCCAATGCCTTTCACAATTTACTTGCAGAAGTTTCCTTAGAAAATGCATACTTCTGCTCTCTAGAAAGACACGATCAAATAGTACCACATGCCAATCTATTGATCCTCTTCCATTCTTTCTCCTCAACATCATCTGGTTTCTCTCCTTCAATAGCAATGTCTAGACCCTACTGAAATAGGGCATCTAGAACCTCACTTTGCCACATGCCGAAATGACCGGTGCCATCAAAAATCTCCACTGCAAATCTAACATTTGTCACAGCTGTTGACGACGATGTGGATGTTTTTGTTGCGTCTGTCATTTCTGCTACAAATTCTATTTAATAGCTGTCAATGCAGAATGTCAATTATCCCAATGAATTTTTTTTATGATGTGGAAAATCAGCCTAAGTCGCAACCACAAAGCATACTAAAATAAACCAAGAGCTCTGATACCAATTGTTGTGGAATTCGGGTTGATTTCCACCAATAATAACAAAATCACCTTGAAAACTATTATTTAGGTGACTAGTGTGGAAACGATTGTACCAAAAATCACTCCAAGGTAGATTCCCAAGAAAGAGGAGGGGTCACAATGGTCCCTCTTAAAACCCACTTTCCTTAGACAGAACTACCAAGATAAGTAATTTTAATAGGACAATAATTAACAACAACTATACCCGACAATAGCTATTAAATAGACGTAAAGAGAACACCAAAATTTATCGAGGTTAGGCCAAAATTATGCCTACCTCCCCGAACACTACTAAAATAATATTTCACTAGTAGAAGAAATATTACAAAGAGAGAAAGAGTACAAATAACATCTAATAGTGAAGAAGGCTTATATTTGTGGGATGCTTAACTAAGGAGGAGGATGACTCTATTTATAATAAAAGAATTTCCCCTCCTCCTTATACACAACCAATGTGGGACTTTGCCAAAAAACCAACATCTGTATCATATTTCAACCCTTTTTGCTTCTCTGCCCATGTAAAAACGACAGTGCAATAACACCCGCATTGCTCAGCCTCTTCAAAACCTCCACAACAAGTGAAGGGGACACTTTAATTGAAGCACTTTCGAGCAATTCGTCGGCGTTAGAACCAGGGTGGCTGGAGAGGAGTGTGCAAATTATGGCAGCTTCTTGCTGGAGTTTGGGTACTTCAGGGTTCTTCTTATAGTTTTGAAAAGACAAATCTTTCGGTGTTAAATCCAAATGGATCGATCTATTGAAATGAAGAGTAGATGAAAACACACATGAGGATGAGTGGGCAAGTGAGTTAAGACTGAAAATTTGATGCTTGATGAATTTCCGTGAGTAATTGGCTGGTGATGGTATGCAAAGAGAAAGAGAAATGGGTTTTCGAGAGGTTTTAGACAACAAATCCTGAAATCGAACGACACCCATTTTAATGTTTGAGATACCCATTCGAAAAATTGCAATTTATTCTACCATAATGCCCAAGTTATATTAAAAAATTATATAATTTAGCTTTTGCAATTTATTTAAGGTTAATTTGAATGTATACAATTTAATCAAATAGTGAATGCTTTAATTTGAATTGTTTGAATTTTTTTCTCTCATTTAGCTTTAAATAAATTTGTTCCAGTGGATGCGATTCGAAGAAAATTCAAAAAGGATTTCTTAACTGAACCAACTTGAACTTTGTTTGCCGGAAACAGAAACAAAGATGAGATTTTTAATGAATGAGTTGTGTTTGTAGCATCAATTCAACGTGCCGAAGAACATACAACAGCATGCAAATGGGCAGCTCAAGAGGAAAGTCCTGTTAACTAAGGACTCTGTGCGGCTTTTTCCACCATTAAAACACTACCCCTGAAGCCGACATCGTCGACCAAAATCGCAAAATGAATAAAGACATACAGACCAAAAGAATGTAATGTCATCTGAAGGTGTTCTTTTGAACCTTTCGTGCAAAATTCAGATGCAAAGGTCAACGCAGTGAGTGTAATTTATTCACCTGTTTCATTTGCACTGATTGGACTGTAAATTCCAGTCATCCAAAAGGTTCGTTACGGTTTCACCAAACTTCTTTGCCTGAGATCCGGGCTTCACGACATTTACATCGCCCCACTGTGAGCAAGGATCCCTCCACCAGCTCTGCTGGCCGGTGCACCACGACCCCGGGGCAGCTCGCTTTCGCCCACGCTTGAGGATCTTTTCATCAACCATGTCCAATAAGGGATCGTTCTCTCGAAACATTCTTGCAAATGCTGCTCCACTTTGAACCATTTGTTCATAATCAGAAATGTTGAGATAATGGGGTTCCATCTTTGGGGGATTGTCCCAGATCATGTATCTTAAATCACCGTTTACGGTAGTGTTCTTGAACTCTGGTGAATTGCAAATGACAGACTGGAAATAGCTTTCTTCGGATAACATAACATTGTTGAAATACATCAGAAGTGTCCTGGGTAGATTATCCCACCCAAAGATGCAAAATTCCAGAAAGGATCTGCTTAAGACGACCCACGGTGAACCTGCAATTCAATACGAAACCCATAAAGGTGTTGGCATCTCCACAGAAAACAGTCACAAATAGAATTTTATTTCATGAAAATTAATGGGGAGCAACGATATGGATTATAAAATTTGCCTGTGAATATTTTAAAAGCATCCGGCATTGGCCTTTTCTCCGTAGCATGAAAAATTTTGGTCCTCCTTGCGAGGTAAAGAGCCGGGTCAACTACAATAGGCTGAAACCGATGAACTCTGCTTACAAAATGAACCGATATGATTAGATGTAATTACAATTGTGCAGCAAAATGATCTGTACATTTTATGGAAAGGGTTTGCGTACTCTTTCCACCCCAGGTCACTGGTGTGATCAATGAAATTGAGGTCCCTACTGACAGAGGAAAACACGTGCGACAAATCTGAGATACGAGAGAAAAAAAGGTTACTACAATTAAGATAAGAAAGGTGAAATCATAGAACTCCTGCCATTGAAATTTGAAGAAAAAATAATTGCAGAGAAAAGATGGGGCATCTGAGATTTTGTTCAATATGATATCGAGTTCTGGTGCTAGTGATGTATGGTTGGTTATCAACCTGCCTCCTTTGAGATATTATTAAGTTTTAAATACGCAAATAATGCATGTAACAGAACAAGTAAAGAACATCAGAAACTAGATCATAGCACTTTCAGCTCCACAAATTAATATATCTTCCTTCCTAGAATTCTACTCACCAAAGTCGCAAAGAATAGAAAGCCCCTTTCTTTTACCTTTAACCTACTGTTGTAACACTTAACAACAAACCGATTTTTTAATAATCGGTCATAGTTCAGCAGCTGCAGAGGTAAGATGCATAACATTATCACTATTCCGCTCTGACTATTTCTTTTCACTAATTTTTCGTGTGAAGGTAACTTTTAGTTGGCTGTATGAAAATGTTAACTTCTTGTTGCACCCTTAAGTAGGCAATTAACCAAAACAGATGCAATCTATAGCTAGAAAGGTTTCTGTTGAAAGGATATGATTTTCTGGGGCGTCTCTGATTAAAACGATATGAAGAAATCGATCATTTCCAAATGTTAAAGTGTATTAGCTTAAGGATCTAGCTTCATATGTAAAGTGATCAACCATTTCCGAACTGATGCGTGTCTAACCGTATCAAAAACAAACCTAGAAATGTAAACATTGAGAATGTCAGGTCAGGCATAACCAAACCATTGTTCCCTGTAGAAATTTGGCCCAGAGTTTCATCCATTGAAATTAAAAAATTTAGCAAACCTATGCAGATTCGAAACTTCAAGCAACTCATTGAGAGAAACATATGCCAGCCAGTCATCCTCCCCGACATACATTCTAGTCTCTCGATCTGATAGCCTATGTGTCATGTATATATGATTATGTAGCGAGGCTTTGCTTATCTATTCTGAGGATCAGATCAGATGTCTTGAAATCAACTATACCTGAATCACTTTAACTTAAATGAAGCTAGAAGCTAGTCAGAAACATGATCAAACTAAAAGAATTTTTGTTGAATTACGTACAATATTCCCGAATCCTATCAAATTTCTAGACTGTAGTAAATATTGTAAGATTAGAAGTGTTGCACCAAATTCTGGCAGAATGGATCCAAGTAAAACAGCAACTATAACTATAAGGAAACTATTGATTGAGGTGTTAACTCGAATCCATTATACTAATTTCCAATCAAAAAGCAAACTAAACCAATTCAGAACATCTGCTGAATCTAAGATCATAAAGAACACCTGAATCAGAAAATTTCGAAGTCCCATTTCTTATGAAATGGCATATTATGTATCGAACCAATGCGAAATCATTCGAATTTCGAACAGTGCCAATCGAATCAAGATCATGTATATCCAAACTAAGAACTTTTTTTCCAACTCAAAACCTCAATTCTCCTAGCTACTCCATACAAAAGAAAACAACATAAATTAAAAAAAAAAAACAAAGGAATCAACTGAAACCGCTTACCGTCTTGAGTAATCAAGGGATAATCCAAGGCACTCAAAGAAATAAACCAATCCCAGCCACGATCAAGCTTCATCAAAACAGCAGCAGCATGCAAGGTGGCAGCAATATACGAAGAACCCATATACGAAAACCGATCGGGCTTCCCGATAACATCTACATTTGCAAAGTTCTTTATAGCCGGAACAGATTTCAAAGCCACAACCAAATTATACCGTTCGTCATCGGTGGCATCAGCTCCAAGATGCAACACATATCGATTCCTGGGGTGATAGATAGCAAGCAGTAGCCTAAAGACCTGATCTTTATCGCCTTTTCCGCCAAATATATAATACCCAAAAGCCGGTGGATAAGGAACGCCGTGTCGGACTAGCGAAGGGAAAGGTCTAGGGGAGCTGAAATTTGAGATCGAGTAAATTACCAGGAAGAGAACGGAGAAAAATGTAAGGGAAAGAATACTGAAAAACCATTTCTTTTCAGCTCCCATAACAATAATGTTTCAAGGGTAATTCAAAAATTATGGTAAAATTTGATTCAAAGATCGACTTTTGAGCATATGGATTTCTCGATGATCAAATGAGGAAATCTAGGTTTAATTTGGACTTTGAGGATGTCAACAAAGAAAGCTCAGATCTTTGGATCAGCACAGTAAAAGCTGTTTTTTTTTCGTTTTTTTATTTGTTGCTCAACTCTCCCTCTCCCTCTCCCTCTCCCTCTCCCTTACTGTGATGACAATGAAAATGATTACAGTTCTCCTTTTCTTTTGGTTGTTGTGTAAAATTCCAATCTTTTTTCGGTTTCGATGATGAATTGAAAATGTTTGAAGGTGAAAGATTTAACTAGGGTTAGGGTTTTTTATTTTTTATTTCATTTTTTGGGTTAGATTTGGTTTAGCTGGATAGATGAACATTGAAGTTTCAATCTTTACGATTTTATTTGTTTTTTTCTGATAATTTGATCCAAGAAAAGTGAGGTAGTAAACTCGGTTTTTCTTTGCGTATGTCCAAAAACTCAAAACCATTTTAGCTACCAAAATGTTCACGATCTTCAATTGCGCGTTTCGTGACGCGCCGCCGCCAAGGAAACACCTAAAAAAGGCCAGTCCTTTGGTCAAATAAGATCCAGGAGTATACCGCATGCGCCAAGGATCATATGTGGGAAACAATTCATCTCAAGCGACCTCTGGACCGACCTGGAGTTTGTTTTTTGGTAAATAAGTAATTTTGAAATAGAATTTCCATATTTTAAAATTAAAAAAGAAAATATTAGTTGGGTCTTTGAATAAAATAGCGTTGATGATATTATTGGACTAATTTTGTTTTGTAGATTAAGTTGGGGAAATAAATGTGATCAATTAATTTATTTGGGGATTCCGTTGATAGTTAGATAAAAGATTAGATGAACCTCGTACGGTTTTTACAATCTAAATGTCTTGAATTAATCGCATGTCTTTCTTTAATACATGGGTAAAGTACACCAATACTCCTCAAATTATAAGCTTCTTACTGTTTTTGTCACTTAACTTTCAAAAGGTATAAAATAATATTGATAAAATATATTTTGGTCACTCTGCCATTAACTATCATTAAGAGATGATATGACATGTTAACGAATACATTAAGTGGTACCAGTAATAAAATAAAATATTACTTCTTTTTAGAAAATTCTTGTTCGAGTTATTGTATCTACAGGGTATGCGTTTGTTGTTATAGGTTAAGAAAAAATATGAACATATAATACTGTAGACACTCATTTTAGTCCATATTTATTTTATTTTATTTTATTTTATTTATATATATATATATATATAGTTTGCAAACTATTTTTTAAAAATACGTATATAATATATAGCTTTTAAAAAATATTTTGAAAACTTATATAATAAATAGTTTTTAAAACACTTTTGAAAACTATATAATATATAGTTTTTAAAACATTTTAGAAAATATATATAATGTATAGTTTTTGAAATCATTTTGAAAATTTATATAATATATAGTTTTTGAAAACATTTTTAAAAACTTATATAATATATAGTTTTTGAAAACATTTTTAAAAATTTATTTATAATATATAATTTTTAAAATATTTTTGAAAATTATATAGTTTTTAAAAATATTTTTGAAAATTATATAGTTTTTTAAAAATATTTTTGAAAATTTATATATAATATATAATTTTTTAAAAAATATTTTTAAAATTTATATTATACAGTTTAAAAAAATACTTCTTTATATTTATTTTATATTATTTTTTTACTATTTTATTTTTATTTTATTTTTTTCTCATTTTTTTCTTTGTTTGTTATCTATCCAGGGTCTATGTCCAAGAATTCAGTCCAATATGTGGGTCCAACATGTAACCAATCAGGTATGGGACTGAACCAGCCCAAGACTCTTAGGGGGTGTTTGGTTCAAGGATTGTGGGATTCCCATGGGATGGGAATCCCACATTCCCATGTGTGGTTGGCCGTGAATCTCATTCCCGGTAGTGTTTTATTACCAATAGTAGATTTTTGGGGGTATATTAGTGGGAATGTCATTACCTCCCTTCCCTTAGGTATTGTAATATTACCGGTGTTTTGGACTAAAATGCCCTTAAATTTTTTTTTTCCAAAAATATTCTTCTTCTGTCATTGAATAATAAAAATTCTCCGAAGGTTAAATTACAAATTTATCCTTAAATTATTTTAGATTTACCAAAAAAACTATAATTAAAATTTTATATAAAGTTCAGGGGTTAAAAAAAATTTTACCCTTTCATTAAACTTTTTTTATATTTTTAATTTTGTAAAAAAAAATTATATAAATATTATGAATTTAATTTTTTAAAGAAAATATATAAATATTTTACAATTTGTAATATTATACAAATATATAATAAGGACAATTTGGTCAAATATACATTTTAATAATCTTTTATTCTTTTAACCAAATACGGTAATCTTACATTCCTGCTAAACCAACCAAACACAAAATACAACATTCCCAATAATCCTATTTCCTGGTAATCTTTTATTCCCACTGGTAATCTTACATTCCGTGAACCAAATGCGCTCTTAGGGTTTGAGAAACCCTAACGTAAATAGTCATCACGTCGCAGCCGAATGGGAACCATTGGATCTGGTCGTCTGATCCAATGGCCAGAATCCATTAAGAACAACCAAGTCATTGGCTGACCAAAATCCTCAGCCAAATCGCAGAAGAATCGGAACCAAGGCCAACTGTTCAAGCACGACCACCAGGACTGAACCATCCCAGAAAATCGACGAGCACTCCACAATATCCGAGACCACAACGGCCGGTTGTGGGGTTATAAAAGCCCCAAAGGAAACCATCATCGGGGGACATCATCAAGGAGCCAACATCGAAAAAAAAGAACCATAAACACATAACATCGAAAGCCATATCACAAAAAACCGAGAACACATAAGGGATTCGAACCACAAAACCATCGTCATCAAGCCACGGTGAGTACACCGAGAACAATCGAAACAACAGGAAGCACAAATACAAATCAACCCAAACACAATCAGGCCAAAAATAACAGCAGCAAACCGCACACAAAAAATCAAAAAACAACCCAATCTAGACTCGGGAAGGAGGCTGTCGTCAGAAGGCGAAGGGTCACCGACGAGGAAGGTAAAAAGTCGAACCTTTCGGGCTAGATCTACATCGTCCGAGGTAGTTTTAGGCTATTTGGGTTTGGATTTGTACTCGGGGTGATGAGAAGAGTGTTTAGTGAGATTTTGGGGTTGTTCGACCATCAGCGATGGCAGCCGGAACGATTTTCGACAGTGGTGGCCCGACGGTCGACGGCGGTCTGGTGAGAGGCCATTGTAATTCCCATTTTGCGGGTAAACTGCACCCGCGACCCTTGTAAGTTTGCACCGTTTACTTTTTAGTCACCAAACCTCGTTTATTAATTTCGATTTAATCCATAAGTTTCAATTCGTTTCAATTCGTTTCAATTTGGTCCCCTTAATTTTTATTTTTATTTTATCTTTTCCCTTTATTACGCTTTTTATTTTCTTACTTTGTTTATGTTACTTTATTTTTTTTCTTTTTTTCAAATTAACATTTTTTTAAAATATTTGTTTTAATTATTTTTTTAGTATTTATTCTATTTTTCCCTTTTTTCGTTTTTCACTTTTCATCCTATTTCATTTAATTTTTTTATTATTTTGACATTATTTCTTATTTAATATTCTTTCCCTTTGATTTATATTCATATTGATTAGTTATTATTTTTTTAATTTTCTTTAATTTATTATTATTTATTTTTTTCTTCTAACACATTCGACTTTTTATTTTTAGAAATTCCAATCGATTAAAGGTAAGCAATTCGAATCGGGTAATTTGAATTTTTAATTTTCGCAATTAAAGGCAATCGAAAAATTAATTGGTACCGAAAGGGCGGTTCAAGGGTGCTAATCCTTCCTTGACCGTAACCGACTCCCGAACCCGCTACGTTTCTGTTAAAACACAGACCAGGTAAGATGGTGTCCAACCCACCTAAATTCGTTTTAAAATTGTCGGTGGCAACTCTAACTCAATTATTCAAGTCGAATCCCAATTTCAGGCCCAACCGAAAGATGGTTATGACAGCTACCTTATAATTACTCCAGACTAATAAAAAATCACATATTAACTCAATGGTTAATATCTCATTTAACCCTTCTACCATAATAAAAATTGTATTTTAACATATTTTTTAAATATATTTAAAATATATTAGAATAGCTAATTTATTTCTTGAAATTAAAAAAAATAGATTATGATTGTATGGAAATTTTAAAAAAAACATATATTCCATTGTACGTGGATCAGCAACTCCACCCGAAGCTTTCATCGGTTTTAAAATTTTAAATTATCTTATATACTAGATATTTTAATTAAGATTTTAATTTTTATTTTCTAAAAAAAATTACTTCAATCCTTAGCCTAAGGTGGCGTTTGGTTCGCTGGAATGTTTCTGAGGGAATTGAAATCTGTCAAGAATTAGAATCTGTCAGGAATTGGAATCTGAAACCTGTTTGGTTGGCATGAAATTGAATTGTAATCAAATTTCATATTCTGTTTGGTTCACAGACATGTCAGATGAATTTGATTTCAGTAATGTAAAATGACAAAATTACTCTTCTTGTTTTTTTTTTTTTGCTTAATTTTAGTTTGTTTTATAACTTACATGTAGCAATATATTATAAAAAATTTAAAAAATATTACATTTTCATTTTATTGATTGATTATTCATTTCAATAAATTATAAAAATCATGCTAATAAACATCATAAGTTAAAATAATCCTAATTGATACATTTCAATCGAAGTATGTCAATTAATTACCAAAAAATATACCAAAAACTTACAAGTCCAAAAAACCAATCAACGTCCTTATAAACAACCCAATTGATTTCACTACCCTTCCAAAATGTATTTCACCCAGGCGTCTCTATCGCCTTCTGCCAATTGCCAAAAATTTTGTACGTTTATGGGATCACTTCTTATCTTGTTCAAAGCTTTGAACTTCTCTATTTGAGTTAGTGAATTCATCTTTAAAATCTCCGGAGGGACATTATCACTCAGTTCGTTGATCTTCATGTCAAATTTAATACCTTGACTCAAGTCTTTTGATATTTCTTTAAGACTTTCTGTAATCAA